CCCCCCCGGAGAGGAGAGGAAAGTAGGGGTAGGGCTCGCCACAGGAGGAAACCATTAGTACAGGAGCCCCAGGCCCCAGTGTCGGAGCTGTCGCTAGAGGCCTGCTTCGTTTTCTCAGCTCTCTCCTGGTGCTCAGGCTGCACTCCCTGCCCTGTCACTCACCGTTGTCCATGTTGGCCTTCTGGTAGGAAGTCAGGGGGCCGGAAGATGTGGCCCCGCTGCTGGCACAGGAGTTTGCAAAGCTGCGTGGAGCAGAGACAGAGTTCGCTTCTGGCCCCCACCCTCCACCCACCAGACCTTCCCACCCTCAGCCTCAAGAAGCGAGCTGTCCCAGTCCTGGAGAACTGAGGACGATAAGCATGGGCCCAGGCTGGGAGGGCAGAGGCACGTGTATGAAGTTGGAAAGGCTCAGAACTCAGGCCTTAGCAAAATAACGAAACCTCACCCAACGGCTGACCCAACTCTATGCCTTGGACTCGGTCCAGAGAGCCTGGGCTGGGGAGTCCCAGCCTGTGGCCCCAGCTGGTTACTTACTACATGTCTGAGGGGGCGCTAGGTGCAGCCTGCAGGTACAAATTCTGGTAGTTCTGGAAGAGGTTGTTGGTGTAACTGATGCACTCCGGGCTCCGAGTGCCGTAGGGGTTGGTGGGTGAAGACGCCGGGTAGTGGCCCGGTCGGACGGGCTTGGCTGCAACGGACCAACAAGGGAAATGAGTCTGAGGAGTTTATTACCTGGCTCGCTGAGGTCAGCCAGCTGGGATGAACGGAGTCACTTTTTTTTTTAATATATTTAAACAGCATCTTTATTTTACAATGAGAGACGTTCAGTAAGTTCACAGAAGAGAGAGCCAAAAGATTAAGCGACTAAAGGGATTTCATCTTTGAGGTAATGGCCTGCAGTGTGGGAAGTTCAGTGTTGCTGTCTTTTAAGCACTCAACTCCCTGGACCAAAGACACGAGGGATTCAAAAACAAAGGCAAGCTGGGAGAGAGGCCCTGTCTTCCCTCCTTGTGAGTAGAGATGGAGATCTGAGACTGCTCTTAACCAATCGTATTTGAAATGCTGAGCATTCACCAGTCACACGACCAAGTGCCCCTGCACCTGGGAAAGCTGAATGGAGGCGCTTCTGTAAGATAACTCGGGTTTACACTTTGACCTTTTTGAGACCAGGGTCTGGCTGGAGGCTGAGTGAAAAGCAGTCATCGAATTGCATTTAGGAATTTGCTGGAAAAGTAGCTCCAGGGATAATCCCACTTTGCCTACTGACCCACCCACCCCCGCCCCCCACCTCCACTCACCAATCTGGGCAGAGTGGCCTCGCTTGCTGGAGCTCTTGTACCGAACAGCCTCCTTAATCCGGTCCACCTCCTGCTGGTACCGGCGCTTGTCTTTCATGGCGCCCTCCTTGGCCTCCTTCAGTGCACCCTCCAGGGCCTTAACTCTCTCAGCCGTAGCCCGAAGTCGTTTTTCCAGTTTAGGAAGCTCACAACGCAGATCTGCATTGTCACGTACCAGCTGTGGGGTGGTGTGTGGGGGTGGGAGGTGGGGCGAGGGAATAAAGAAACAGCATTAGAAGACGAAAATACACTGTTGCACAGTAAGAATCCATGCCCGTTCCCAAAAGTGCCATTGATTTCCTTCTCTCTGAGGACAGGGGGGTCAGGCATTGTCAAGTGACATCTTCAGGGCAGCAAAATGTGCTGTCTCCGTGGTAGCCCTGAACTTGTGACAACACAGGGGGGCCCAGGCTCCTTTGGGCCTAGCCCCCTCCCCCTCCCCGCACCAGTCTCTCCCATTCAGCTTTTGGGAAGTTGTGACAAACTGACGGCCCAGGGCAACCAGGGGATGAGGGAGGCACCCCTGGCGCAGAGCTATCTCTGTGGACATGCAACGGGTGGGGCAGCAAGAACATGGGAGCAGCTCTGAGGGTGGGCATGGCGCGGAGAATGAGGAGGGTCAGGTGCTGAGCGGGAGCTTAAGCTGGAACACGGAGCCCGCAGCCAGCACACACACACACACACACACACACACACACAGCGCCCCACAGGGAGGAAAGAAAATGTTTGTGGGCTCCCAGCCTTGCGCCCATGACCTTATATTCAAGGAATTCCACCCCCCACCCCCACCCCGTTTAAATAAAGCTAGAGTGTGGCAGCCACCACCTTGCAGCCAGAAACGACTTCCTGAGCTTTTTATAAGGCTCCCCACAACAGCTGGGGCGCCATGATTGCAAAAGGAGCGGGCATGGGAGGAGGGCATGGGGAGAGTCGGGCACAGGGACCGCTGGGGAAGGGGAGCAGAAGCTGGGCGGAGCTCTGTGCAGTATTCACGGTGGATACCTTACAGACTGTGCACCACCGTGCTGGGACAGTTGGGCTTAGTCCCAGACCCACAGCCAAGTCAATTCTGGCCCTCAGCAGCCCTGTACAGGGCTTCCCAAACTGCAAATCGTATGGGAACAGGCAGCCTCGATTGTCTTCCCATGGAGTGGCTGGTGGATTGGAATTGCTGGCCTAGATGGTGCAGCCTGATGGCCTCACCCACAGCACCACTAGAGCTTTTTAATGGGGCCGGTAAACCTGGCTTTGAGATTCTGTTAACTAAGAAGTTCCTCTCCTTTTCCTTTCTGGAATGAGCTCTGATAGCACAGTGGTTAAAGCGTCCGGCTGTAGCTTTCTCCTGGGGAGGAAGATGAGTCGTCTGTTTCCAGGAAGATTTACACCCTTGGAAAACTGGAGGTGGGGCGTCTTATGCTCGATGGCAGTGGGTTGGACTTTTGGTGGGTTCACTTTCTAATCTTATGACTGCTCAGGCAGAGTTTGGGTCCTCATTTAGTCTATTCAAACAAATAAGCAAATGCGTTCCCATTAAGTTGCTTCCAACACCGATCAAGCGCATATGTTAGCAAGCAGGACTGCTCTATAAGGGTTTCTTGGCTGTAATCTTGACAAAGGAAGATTACCAGGCCTTGCTTCTGCCAACGACCCCTGGTGGTGTAGTGGTTATGCCTTGGGCTGTGATCTGTATGGTAGGCAGTTCAAAACCACCAGCAGCTCTGCAGGAGAAAGGCTGGGCTTTCTACTCCCATTACATGGACTCGATGGCTTTCCTTCCGCAGAGTCTCTGGGTGGGTCCAAATCACCAACCTTGAAGGTAGTTGTCAAGCCCCAACCGGTTGTCCCATCCCAGCCAGGGATCAGGAAGTGGGAGGAAGATAGCCCGTGGCTTCCCAGAGGAAAAAGGTTCCTTTAAAAGCTATCTGCACTGGGGCAGGGAGGGAACCCACACGGGGGGAACACAGAGCGGCAGAGCTCTCATGCTGCTTCATGCTCCTGTAATGCTGTTTATCGCCAAACCCAAGCCAAGGTCACTGCCACTGAGTCGATGCTAACCTTGGGTTTCCGAGACTGTGATTCTTTGCAAGAGCCCTGTATCTTTCTCCTGAGGAGCGGCTGGTAGTTTCAAACTGCTGACCTTGGAGTTAGCAGCCCAATGTATAACCACTGCGTCACCAGGGGCCCCTGCTACGTATGACCTGGTCTTCCTCGTGAGCACAAGGGAAAGGACGGGACGAGAGCCCACAGGAAATGCAGGAGACCCTGGGAGAGTGCCACAGGAGCCTCCCCACCTTTTTTCCCCTGGGTCTCACAAGTTTTGGCAGGGGCAATCTTAGCACAATTCTATGACTCAACTCAGTGGAAAATATGTGCATTTTCCTTCTCTGACAGTTTCCGCCTGACACAGGTTCTGGTTTTCATAGGTTTACCATAAAGGCATCTTGTAGGTTCTCATTGGGCCTCAGGGCTTGGAATTTTCCCCTCCCCCCTTAGAGAAAAAGGCATGTACCGAGTCTTCGCTCGAACACTGTGGAAAACAGAAGGTTAAGGTCCAGTTGGGAAGAATGTGAGTTCCAATGGCATTTGAAGGTGGATTTGACAAGCCGAGATGGAGACCAGGGCTCCAGAGAGTTTACGTGCTACATCAGTTCCCAGCGCCAGTCGACAGACTATGGAGCTGGTCTCCAAGGCTCAGGCGTTTAGGTCAGGTGGGTGCTCCTGCTCTGTATGCACCAAACATTTCCTGTCCTGACTCCTTGGGTCTGGCCCTCCTGCCCACCCCCCACCCCCACCCCCATACCTTTGAAACCCAGTCAGCCATCTAAGAACGGCAGCAGCAAGGTGGGGGGGACAGAGAAGCAGCAGCTTAATACACAGGTGTTTGGCCCTGACCAGGTCTGGGTGAGTCACCTGGTGGACATAACTAAATGCCCTGCGTGCCTGCCCCGGGCGTAGGCACAAGGAGTGCTCTCCGAAAGGGAGAGTTCAATTGACCCAAGCCCCCTGGTTCTTCTCGCCTCCCGGTCTTCCAATTCCGGGGGCAATCGGGTTAGGAACCCTCTGGTACAGTTGTAGCCCCCAGCCTCTGAAACCTCCAACAGCAACAATTGCCTTCCGGTCAGTGGCAACTCGGCAGCCCTGTGTGTGCAGAGTAGAACTGCACTCAGTGGGGTGTTCCAGGAAGTGACCTTTCTGAAGCAGATCACCAGGCCTTTCCTCCGAGGCACCATTGCATGAAATCGAACTGCCAATGTTTTGGTTCTTGGTTGAGCACCTAACTGATGGTGCCACCCAGAGACTTCTCCCTCCAAGGCAGGGCTTGGAAATTCCACATCTAACAGAGGTGGGCAGGGAGCTCTGAGAAGGGAAACCAGGCAAGGAACAAAGAAGGTAAAACTAGAGCCAGACATGGGGTCATGTCAATAAGGGGCTCATGGGGAGTAAAAGGGAAAGGTCAGGAAAACATGCTACTAAGCTTTCCTGAATCCAAGGGCCCGCCAAAACGACTTGGGTACGATGCAGGCACCTGGCCTCAAACCCGTTTCTTCATTGCTTTCCCCCTCTTTTACCTGTTTGTGAACCTTTGTAAGCTGTTCCAGGTTGTTCTCAAGAAAGGAAATCTTCTGCTTTTGGGAGTGAATCCCCCCACTGTCCTCGGGCTCCATTTCTGCACTCTGGCATCAGACAGAGGGGGGAAAGGGTGACTGTCCTGAGGCTGTGCCCAAAGGCCCCGCCCAGGCCAGGGCTGAGCCCACCTGAGGCTGGCACTCACTTTCTTAACTCGAGTCGTGACGTCTTGAACGAACAGCTTGCGAAGGTTGTGGAGGGTCTGGAGTTCACGGGCCTGGAGGGAACGGTGAAAAATCGGGGGAGTCAAACGCTAGGTCAACTCTCTCCATCCAAAATTACTAGCACCTTCGGGTGATGTGGCCGGTAAGCCACTCGTCCCTTGAGTGTGATACAGACTGGTGGCAGGTGGAATGGGGCTGGGGGAAACGGGGGCAGAAGGTACCACCCCACCACCCCACTCTGTAACTTGGCCGAGAAGGGCAACCACTCACAACGGTCTCCTCCAGCCCTTTGAGGTCCTGCTTGGACTGCTCGTGTCGCTCGTACAGAAATCTGCAGCAGGAGAGAGAGAGGAGGGAACAGCAAGTCCCACAGGAGTCTCCCTTCCTTCATCTCTTCCTCCTCCTATCCTTTGATTTCTGTTTTACATACAAGTTACTCATGGTCATTGTGCAAAAGTTAGGGGGGGGAAGGAGTTAAGTAAAATGAGTCTTACAAAAAGTCCATGATGAAACTACTTACAGATGAAATCACAACTCATATATATATTTTTTGATATTGCAGTTTCACTTGTATTAATTTTCTTTTTTCTTTTTTTACACAACTCATATTTTGATATCTCTATCTCCAAAGGATTCCCCCCCCTAGCATCTGTGTGTGTGTGTACCTGTGTACACATATGTACAGGTGGCCCCCAAGTTACGAATGACATCTTTTCTTAAGCGTGTCTTTCAGTGGAATTTCTAGGTACATCAGAGGAGGTGTCTGTGGTTCTAATGTAGCCTCGCCTTAGTGCAAGAAGCGGAGTCCTAGTGGCACAGGGGGTTATGTGTTGGGTTGCTGACTGCAAAGTCAGCAGTTCTAATCCCATAAACAGTTACAGTCTCAGAAACTTAACAGAGGCAGTTCTACTCTGTCCTGTCGGGTTGCTGTGAGTTGACATAGACTTTATGGCAGTGAATCTGGGGTTCTTAGTGCAAGACGGGGTAAAGTCGGGCTTAACAGTTGGACTGCAAGGTCAACAGTGGGAATTCACCAGCTGCTCACTGGGCAGAGGATGAAGCTGTCTGCTCCCATTAAGAACTATAGCCTTAGAAACCCTGAGGGGCAGTTGTACTCCGTCCTAGAGGGTCCCTGTGAGTCAGACTCAACTCCATAGCAGCGAGTTTGAGGGGTGTTTTGTTCAGTGCAAGAAAGGCTTCAAGTCAGAGAAGAGCTCACGGCACGCAGAATCCAGGACAGATAAGGCCCTCAGGAACAGTAACGAGAGTAGCAGTACCATGAGGGGAGGGGGAGGGTGGAGGTAGAAGGGGGAGAAAGGGGAAACCGATCACAATGATTGACATATAGCCACCCCCACTCCACCTGGGGAATGAACAACAGAAACATGAGTGACGGGAGACAGCGGATGGTGTAAGATATGACAATAATAATAATTTATAATTTATCAAGGGGTCACAAGGGGAGGGAGGGAACAAAGAGGAGTTGATCCCCAGGGCTCAAGTAGAAAGAATGTTTTGAAAATGAAAATGTTTGAAAATATGTACAAATGTGCTTGATACAATTGAGGTATGGATTTGTTATAAGAGCTGTTATAAGACCCCCCAATAAAATGATTTACTAAAAAAATAATTACATGATACTGATCCACCAGAAAAAAAGGCTCCAAGTCTTTCCAATGATTTAAAAGCTGCACTTGGAGCAAGTGAAGGTGACTGTGATGAGGCTTTTGTTTCAAAGTGGGAGCAAGTTTACCGAACACTGAAGGGCTAGCAGAGGGGAAGCCAGAGCCAGCGCCGCTGCTGTGGCGTCGATTCTGCGTCAGGGCGCCCCCGGGTGCTGCAGAGTGGAACTGCACTCCTTGGGGCTTTCAAGGCTGTACCTTTGGAAGCAGAGCGCCAGGCCTTTCCTTCAGGGTGAGTGAGAGCTACTAACTTTTCAGTTAGTGTCGAATGATTAGCCATTCGTGGCTTCATTTCACAGACTGACTCTCTTCCTCCCTCTACCGGAGTACAGAGAGGTATATGTGTACATACCAATTTTTTTAAGAGATCACAACATTCTTGTTGCTTTGTAACCACAGACGCCTGCTCTGATGTACCTGGAAATTCCACCGAAAGACACACTTAAGAAAAGATGTCATTCTAACTTGGGGGCCACCTGTACATATGTGTACACAGGTACACACACACACATATGCTTGGGGGGAGGGAATCCTTTGGAGATACAGACATCAAAATATGAGTTGTGTAAAAAAAGAAAAACCTGCTTTTAACACTTAACAGATCGTCGCAAACATCTTTGTATGTCGTTGATCCTCAATACCGGCCACTTTTGATCATCTCCTTTTGTCCCCCTCCTTTACCCTCCCCCAAGCTATCCTCTGAGGCGTCTGCCAGACAGGAGCCACGTGCCCCCTGCCCCCTGCCCCTGCGGGTTTGCTGCATGGGCAGCTGGGAAGTGAGGTGGCCTGGGGCGGTCGGTCACTCACGTCAGCTCCTGTAGCTTGGCGCTCTTCTCATTCTCCTCGCTCCTCAGCCGCTCGTAGTCAGCCTGCAGCTTCTCTAGCTCTACCTGGAGCTTCTGATTCAGACTGTGGAGGGCAAGGGGCAGCGGGGGAGGGAGGGTGTTACTGAGGGAGAAAGGGAGGCTGGCTGAAAAATGTCTCCTCTGCTTTCCCCCTGCTTTTTCCTTAACTCTTTCTGGGACTCAGGTGAAGGTTTACAAGGTGGATCATCAGTTTTACATTCAACAGCTCGTACACAATGTTTCCGCTCATCCACTTGTAATCCCTCTCCCGTCACTAAGCCCCTTCCTCCCTGTTTCCAGTCCTTCTTCCCCAACGCTCTGAACTTGGGCCTGAGTCAATGCTGCCCTTCGGATCTCAACTGCTTACTGATTCTAAAGGGTGCTGCACCCCTCACTGGTGCTATTGCCCCCCTTGCAGACCTGTCTGACGTTTGGCTGAAAGCTGAGCCGAGGGGGTGAGTAGCCCTGATCGAGTGAGTTCAGTTAAGATCGATGCATCTACCGTTGGCTAGCAGAGGCAGACCCACGGGGCACTGTTTCCCAGGAGAGAGGAAGGAACCCTGAGATGGAGAACTACGAGAAGCTCAAGGCTAGGGTAGTTCTGCTTCCTCCTATTTCCTAAAGCTGGCCTGCAAATCTGCGGCATTGCTGAGGGAGTAACTCAAGGAAGCTCTCGAACCCAATCCTGGGCTCCAGAGGGAGTAGCTGAGAGGACCCAATATGGGCGGAGCCCGGCCCTGGCCCAGGGCATGCTCACTCTTTGAGCTCGTCAATGGTCTTCTGCTTCTCATTGATCTCATCCCGAAGCCGGGCCAGCTGCCGATGATGGGCCTCGCGGTGACTCTCCATCTGCAGCTCCAGGGCCTTCTGCAAACCCCCGGCCCAAGCTCAAAGTCAGACTCCGGACACAGCCACAGGAGGGGCCAGCCGAGGCCCTTCTCTCCCGGCCCTAAGTGCCCCTAGCCCACTGTCCCCATTCCCACTCACCTTCACCTCATCGGCATCCTGTGTGTCTGGCTCCTTATCCTTCAGGGCCACTTCGTGCACAGTTTCTGGGGAAGGGGGGAGAGGAAAAGCCAGCTTATACCACTTCCACCTTCTCCAGAAAGAATTTCTGGAGACTGACCAGAGTCCCCAGCAGGGCAGGGCAGGGCCAGCCACCCAAATAGCCCACAGGAAGATTTTTCTGGGTAAGGACAGTCCAATTCAAAACAGCAGAGACTGAGAACAATGGAGGGTTATGGTTCATGCAAAATAAGCAACATGCAACGTGGCTCCCTGGCGTGTGTGCTGGCTTCCGTGATGTTGAGTTGGAGGGTGGTGACCCAGCAGGTGGGTGGTACTGATGCTTGTCGGCTGTGGCTGGCCCCTCCCCGTGAGATCTCCACCCCAGCACTGGCGGGATGGAAGGCTAAGAAGGCCTCACCCTGGGCCTGCAGCTTGGCCAGCTCATCGCTCAGGGAGTCATAGGACTCTTCCAGGTGCCGCTTCTTCAGCTCCACACTCTGCATGTACTCTGTGAGGGAGCGGATCTTGGCCTCGTGCTGGGGAAGGAAGGGTGGATGAGAGGAAAAAGAAGGATGGAGCAAAGGATGGTACAACTCCTAGCAGCCCGCACTCACTGCCTTCGACTCAATCCTGGCTCCCAGCCGCCCTAGAGGACAGGGTAGAACTGCCCCTGTGAGTTTCCAAGACTGCAACTATTACGGGAGTAGAAAGCCCCGTCTCTAACCCTCAGAGCTGCTAGTGGTTTCAAACTGCAGACCTTGAGGATCGCAGCCCAATGTGTAACCCCTAGGTGGAGCCCTAGCAGCACAGCCCGGGTAAACTCCAGCTCCCTTTGCACACCCCAGCAGCTCCTGGTAGGCCTTCCATGACAATGCAGCCCCGAGGTCCCTTTCTCTGGAGGGCCCATCCCTTGAGACCTTCAGCTCTAGGGACCAGCATTGCCCCCAAGCTTTCCCATCCCTGTCTGCCACCTTTTACTCCTCAGTCCTTGATTTCACTCAACCCCAGGCCTCCGGCAGACAGATGATGGGTGTCGGCTGACCCTTCCTCCCCGGGCACCCAGACGCCTTGGTGGCTCACCTGGGAGATGAGGAGCTGGCAGGATGAGAGCTCCCGCCCAGTCACCTCCATCTTGCGATGGCATTCCACCTGGAGGTTCTCCAGCTGCCGGCACCGTTTGACCACGGACTTGACTTCCGACTTGATTTTGCTGATGTAGAGGCGGGCCACGGTGAATTCCTCCTCGATGGCCCCACTGATCTCCACCGGCTGTGGAGCAGAGGAGGGGAGAGGTGTTTCCCCAACGCCCCTCTGCTCTCTCCCTCCCTCCCACTCCAGACACGGGGACTCAGATGACCTGGGTATTTTCAGAGGCGCCTTTTGTGGTCCCCTGTTGCCTGACATTTCCCAACCACCTGCATTTAAGGACCCGGTTCCAACAGCCCCCGGGTCACCTTCCAGAGCAGTAAGATTTTCTTGAGGCGTCCAACTGATCTGCTTGACCACCGGGTAGGTCACTCATTTCACATACTTGTGTGTCATTTCTAACCCTCTCATCTCTAAATCTGGCTTGGAAGAAGTACGGCTAGAGTGCTCCTTAGAGGCAAGGAGGGCGAGACTTCCTCTCGAGTACTTTGGACGCGTTGTCAGGAGAGGCCAGCCCCTGGAGAAGGAAGCCCTCCCCGAGAGGGGTGGAGGCAGCGGCTGCAGGCATAGGACAGTTGAGGATGGTGCAGGACAACGGGCAGGCCTGTGCTCTGCCACGTGTGGGTCGCTATGGGTCGGAACCGACCTGACGGCACGTAGCAACAACGTCTCTAAATCCTGTCGAGCACACCTCCATTGCTGCTTGAGCACCCGTTAGAATGTGTAGGTTCTGCGGTGTCCATCTGAGCCTCTCCTCATCTCCCTGTGTCTAGCTGGAGGGCACGATTCCTGGCCCTCTGCCCGCTGTCTCAGTCTAGCCGAGGACCCAGTTCTTTCCCTGTAGTTCCCCCGCCCCAGGCCCAGGCCCAGGCCGAGGATGACCATCAAGCCTCTTGCCCCTCTGCACTCACCAGCTTAATCTCTCCATTGCCCACGATGACACTGAACTCACTCAGGTCCTTCATCAGCCCGTTCAGCACCTCAGCAATTCGTTTTCGCTGGTGTCCACTGACTTCCTGTAGCCGCTGCAACTCAGACTCCAGGGACAGCATGGTAGCCTGGGAAGGGCACCTTCGGTCACTCTCATCCCCCTCGACCAGTTCCCCTCCCCTGTCCTGGCCGGGGCTTCTTCCCCCAGGCATGACCCGAGGAGCTGCTGCCAAGGGTCTTAAAGTACAAGGGGCCCGAGAGCAAAGTGCAGTGACAGGGGAGGGGAGGGCTTCCTGACACACTGCAAAGCCAAGGAGCCCGCCCATGTGACTCCGCCTTGTGAGCAGTCCTCCTTCAGATGGTCTGAGGTCAAGGCGCCCTCGGGCTGCTACTGGGCCACTCACCACCTTCTGAGACAGCTCATCCACCAGCAGCTGGTTCTGCTGGCTCTTCTCCTCCACCTCCTGGGACTTCTGGTCGTAGTTGACCGCCAGCTCTTCCAGGGCCTGCAGCACTTCCTTCACCTCGTCCTTCGCCGCGTCGTTCTCTGACTGCAGGTGGCTCAGCTCTCGCTGGACCTTCTCGTTGTCTCCTCGAGTGGACACCAGGAGCTTCCAGGAGAGGGAGGCAGGTGAGGAAGCTTGAGCTTGCATCCAGGGACTGCTTCTGGGGAAGCCGGGTGCCCCCGTGCCCCCCCTCCCTCCCGCCGAGTACGGCTCAAGGGAGAAGCAAGCACCAAAGTCAAGAGGAAATGTGCTCTGGGTTTCACAGGGCTCAGGCCCCTCTAGGACATCAGCCGAGAATGAAGAGGCTCTAGACCCTAGAACAGTGGTTCTCAATCACGCGCAATCCCTTTGGGGGTCCAACGACCCTCTCAAGGGGGTTGCCCAATTCATGACAGTAGCAAAATTACAGTTATGAAGCAGTAATGAAGCACAACATGAGGAACTGTATTAAAGGGTCGCGGCATGAGGAAGGTTGAGAACCACTGCCCTAGAAGCTGTGCTTTCAGGACACCCCCTGCTAAGTTCCCAGACTCCTATCACCCTGGGAGGTGAGTAGTCCCCAAGCAGAAGGCCCTCTTCCATCTAGTCTAGCAAGGTCTCTCTTCTGCCTTGCAGGGATGAACAACCCCTTTGTTCCTGTGACTTCTGCTCCTCCCCATTACCTCTTCCTGGTCCAGCATCTGCTGCTTCAGCTTCTCTATGAGTTGGCTCTGCTGGTTGATCTCATCATCCTGTGGAGGCAAGGGGGAAAGACGGGGTGAAGGGGAGCTCCTCCTGCCAATCGAGTTATGGGGTGGGACGCAGAGAGGGGATTCTGGGAAAACTGAGTTAGAAACCCTGTACCCTAAAGAGAAAGAGGCCCTTTTCTCAGCTTCTTTCAGCTACCTCCTGCCCTCGCTTTGTCCCGACGCGTGAAAATTGCCGAACTGATGTGTGCTGTGCTAGAGCATCTGTGAACCGTCTACTAACTGGTCCATTTACCCCCACCAAACTTAGGGCCACCAAGTCATTCCTGACTCACTCGACCCTAGAGGCCAGGGCAGAACTTCCCCTGTGGGTGCCCGAGGCTGTAACTCTTTACGGAAGTAGAAAGCCTCCTCTTCCTCCCAAGGAGCAGCTGGTGGTTTCGAACTGCTGACCTCGGGGTTAGCAGCCCACTGCATAACCACTACCACCATAGCTCAGCCCATTAGACAATGGCTAACTATACACAGCAACGTCCACATCCCTTCACCTAATAATCTCACTACATGCCAGTCAAGCCATTCTGGAGACAATCTTAAGTACAGAAGGCAAAGATGTTCATTTCAGTATTATTTGTCCTAAGAAAACACAAACCACCAACAAAAAAACTGGAAACCTGTATAAGTGAATTGTTAATATGCTTTTGATAAGGGGACCATGAGACGGTCATTTAAAAACACTGTCATGAAGAATTGTTGATGAAAATTCAAAGATGATGAGGGGAAAGTATCAGAGCTAACATTGTGAACACCCAATTTGTGGGAGGCTGTGGAGGGCCGTGGGGGCCCAAACCCATTTGCAGAGTATCCAGTGAGATTAAGCCGCTGGCAGATCCCCTCCAGCCACAGGCAAAGGTCTGGAACAGTCTTATCATCAAACACAGATCATTGTAATCCTGGATCAGGCTTGACCTTCCTCTAGACCCGACCTGAGTTTGTTCTGGGCGCAAGGAGCTCTCGGCTGTTCCGTGACAAAAACGTCCTCCCTGGCTGTTGGAATATCGATGGTATCATTTTTCACTGACTCATTGTTCGTATTTTTATCTATGTATCACGATTGTTTCATCCTCACCACTTTATTTTGTTTTTGTGCATTACTGTTTCCGTGGGCTTTTCAAGTCTGTGGAGTGCAGAAGGAGGAATGGATGCATAGAGATTAAGGACCGATGCAAGGGTTTGTAGGGGGAGGGGGGTGGGGTGGGGGGTATATGGGGAGGGGGGTGGGATTTCAGGAGTGCACAATCAAGGTGGGAAGGGGAAGGAGCACTAGAACTGAATGTGATTACACAGCTTATTTTAAGGGTGATTTAATCATGGGGTGGGGGAGAAGAAAATGTTCTAAAATTGATGGTGGTAATGACTGTTCAATTCTTGATATGATTGAATGATTGAATTGTATGATAGGCAGATTATATGCCAATAAAACTGAAAAAAGTTGTTAATGAAGTAAGAAACAGCTCATCCTATAATGCTGAATGAAAGAATGATTGAGCTATAAAATGATATATACTAGGAAGGGCTTCAAAAAGTTCACAGACAAGTCCTATTAATCTTTTAATTCCATTTTCCCATGAGTTCTTTGAAGCCCCCTGGTACAGTATGGGAATTACTCATCTCTCCCCTGCAAAGCGGGTCGTGGGTTCGCGCTGACCCGGCAGCCCCACCGGGGCTCCTAGCACGGGGGTCTCTCCACTGCAAGGTGCAGCCGGCGGCGGCCAGAAGAGAGAGGCGTGATGACGGCGGACTTGTGCTTGTTTGTCCTCTACATGTTCAACAGGGAGCAGCTCTCACTCTCGTAAAGACGGGAAGGATAAATAAAGACGGGCAGCACGGGCTCCTGGGAGCCTGCGGTCCTGCTGGCTGAGGGCCCGGGCCGCCCGCCCTCACCTTCTCGTCCAGTTGCTTGTACAGGCGGCGGATCTCCTCCTCATACTTCTGCCTCTCCTCGGGGGCGATGCGCACCACGATGGACGAGTTGTCGTTCACCGGGGTCTCCTCACAGAGCTGCGCTCCCAGGCCTGTGTCCTCGGAGGCCAGGCGCTCCGTCTCAGGCACGTTCTCCCCTGGGGAAGGGGCAGGACAAGGTGAGGGGTGGGAGTGGACAGAGCGCATGCAGAGTCCCTCCCGGCCCCCTCCTCAGCATCCAGACCCTGCGGAGGGAGGAGAGGCACAGCCGGCCCACTCTTCCCCACCTCTCTAGAAACGCAGCCTCCTTCCTGGACACTGACCTGAGCCCAGAGATCGCCCTAGACAGGGAGTCCCTGGCCCCTGAGCTCCCTCCCTGTCCCACCGGCAGAGCCCGCTAACCATTGCGCCAGCGGCTCAGCTCGGCCTCCAGCTTGGCGATCGCCTCCTTCTGGGTCTTTGTCTTCTCCTTCTCCTTCTCGTACTTCTTCTTCCACTGCTCGGCAGTCAGCTCCAGGTTCACGGAGGCCGTGTTCTTAATGGTCTTCGCCCTGGGTGACCAGAAGAGGAGGAAGGGGGTGAGAGCGCCCGTGAGGGGAGAGCGCGGTCGGGGCGGGGTGAGGGGGCCCTGCCACTGACCGCTGCCCAAACATCAGCGTGGACTTGGTCTCGGCATCATTGTAACTGGAGGGAGAGCAGCAGATGAACATGGTCGTCCGGCAGTTCCCTCCCAGGGAGTCCTGGAGAATCCGTGTCATCTTGCTGTCACGATACGGCACGTAGCTTTTCTGGGGGCGGAGGGAGAGCACGAGTCAGAATGAGACCGGTGACCAAGGTCAGAGAGGGCAGAGGAGCCAGCCGGGATCGAACTGGAGCACGTGGAGCAGTGAGGAGTTGGGGTAGGGTCTGAGGGGCACTCACAGTGCCTTCTGCCAGGGCGGAGATCACGTTCCCCAGGGCTGACAGAGACTTGTTAATATTCTTTGCCTCGTCCAGCACGGCTCCTTCCGCCCCAGTCTTGCTGACCTAGCAGGGCATCAGGGGACGTGTATCATGAGGGGCCTCTCACCCCCTCTTCTCCACTTCAGAGGTTCAGTCCGAGGAGAGGCAGGCTCGGCCTGTCCTCTGTTTCCCAAAAACCTCTTACAAAAATGCCTCTCGCAGCCCCAGAAACTAAGGTTGCATGTCGGTGGAATGCCCAGAATAAACAACCCCCGGGGCAGAAAGTACATTCATGGTGGCTGGAAGGTGAGAGGTGGGAAATCACTTCGACAGTGGTGACTCGTCCATACTCCTGTGCATACACTAGAAACCAAGGACCTGTTGACATGAGAATGGTGGTCTTATGACATGCAAATTATTATGCCTCAATAAAAATGTTTTTAGTTAACAAACAAACAAACAAAAAAGGGCCAGTCCACAACTGATGAATGGATAAACAAAGTGTGATATATAAGGGGGCTTCAAGGGGGTGGGGGGTGGGGAGTGTGGAGTGGAGGCCCAAAGCCAACCTGTAAGCAATTAGACAGAAGGGTCGTGGGGAGAAGACGGGCCAGTCAAGCTGCAGGGTCACAATGATGGAATATACAACTTTCTTCTAGTTCTTAAATGCTTCCTCCCCCCACTATCATGACCGTAATGCTACCTTACAAATCTGGCTAGACCAGAGCATGCACATAGGTACAGATAAGAGCTGAAAACACAGGGAATAAAGGACAGATAAACTCCTTGGGACCAACATTGAGAGTAGCCATACCAGGAGGGGAAAGAGAAGGTGGGGGGAGAAAGGAGGAACCGATCACAATGATCCACCTATAACCCCCTCCCTGGGAGATGGACAACAGACAAGGGGTAAAGGGAGACATCAGACAGTGGGAGACACACAAAAAAATTATAAATTATCAAGGGTTCATGAGGGAGGGAGGGAAGGGGAGGGGGGGGGAAATGAGGAGCTGCTACCAAGGCCTCAAGTAGAAAGAAAATGTTTTGAGAATGATGATAGCAACAAATGTACAAATGTGCTTGAGACAATGGATGGATGTATGGGTTGTGATATGAGTTGTACGAGCCCCCAATACAATGATTTAAAAAATAATAATAAGGGGCTTCCAAAGCAATTTTTCCACAAAGTTTTCAAGGGCCCCTCATATACTCGTGCAAGGACTACTTGGTCATTAGGAGAAGCGGGCCTGATCAGGGCCACAGCCTACATGAAGCGGGAAAGTTTCCTGCTGAGCGTAGTATGGCACCAGAGGAAAAAAGAAAAACGACAAATACCGTATGATCTCACTAGTGTAAAATAGGTGGCTACAGAGAAACCAAAGACTCTCCATGGGTCCTTGGGGTGGCGGGGAGCCAGGGGCCGGCGTGTTTGCTTTGCTTAGAGGGCACTGAACTTGGGTTGAGGGCGGTGGAAGGGTTTGGAAAGTATTGAGATTGGTGGCCCTGCATGCTGCCGAGCATGGTACTGAATAGTGCATGCGGATGGTCGAGAGAGACAGTATAGTTTGTTATGTCTATTTTCACCACCATAAAAATGGAAAAGAACATCCTCTCTCCGCAAAAGGCCACACTAAGGCTTCCGCCCCTGCCCACCCCCATCAGGCTCCAACCTTCTCGCTCCCAGCCAAGTCCACTAGGTACAGCTTTCCACTGAGCTTCTGCTCAGTCTCCATGTTCTCCTGCTTGATGTTGATGAGGAAGATGCTGTGGCTTCGGGAGCTGTGCTCGTTCATGTCTACGGGAGCAGGAGAGAAGCCTTCCCTGCACCGACCCCATCACCTAGAGAAAAGGTGCCCCGGGCCCGCCTGCCACACCACCCAAGCTCCAGCGTGCACAGATGGGGCTCCCCTCCCCCGGATCCCTGCATGCTTTGGGGGCTCGGAGCACCGGCGAGCAGAGAAGAGCCCCTCCTGCCCTCACTCACTGGTAACAGCCACATGGCGGTTGGACTTCCCCTCATCGATCACGTCTAAAATCTCCTCGGGGCTGGACACGAAGCGCTCGGTGCAACCCTGCAGGGACGAAGGGACGGGGCCAGGCAAACAGGGACCTGAGACTCTGTGAGACTGGCTGCACAGTGAGCAAACAGCTTTTCAGGACGGCGTCTTTGCCGAGCGTCCGGCCTCCTCCCAGTCCCGTGGCATCACCTGCAGGTGTGCCCTTCGACTTCCCGGTCATCATCTCCACCCTCCCCCAAACTGGCACACTACCCCCACGCTCACCTTGACAAATGGCACCCGGTTCTTGTCCTCGTGTACAGATAGATTTGTCTTGGTCACTGAACAAAGACAACGCAAGATAAGGCAAGCCTGCTCCCCTCCGCTCCGCCCGCCCCAAAGTCCACTCAGATGGGGGTTTCTCTATGTGCTAAAGGAAGAAGACCTCCCCATGAGGTCTAAGCCCCCGGACTCCAGCCCCAGGCCTCTGGCTCCTTCTGGGTGGCCTATCTGGCAGCCTGGATCTCACTTTCTGATAATCTCAAGAATGGTTTGGAAACTCTTGGTGAGTGTGCAAAGGGTGGGCTCAGGTGTGAGTGTGTATGGCCTCTCTATCTCTTGCCAAACAGTACTTCTGCAGATGGAAACTGAATGTCCTAAAAATATGTGTTGTAAGATATGCAGGAATAGGGAGTTCAGGGCAATTTGAAGGAGCACGGGTGGAGCTGTGGGATAAGCGTTGGACTGTTAACTGAAAGGTCAGTGGTTTGAACCCATCCACCACTCTGAGGGAGCAAAATGAGGCTGTCTGCTCCTGTAGAAATGTACAGTCTTGGAAGCCCTGTGTGGTTGGAATCGACTAGACGGTAGTGGGTTTGGGTTGCTGTGTTAATTAGGTCCTATCAGGGTAGAATGCACTTTAAGCCAATGACGTTTGAGAATGAAAAGGAGGTCATTCGCAGAGTGGGCAGGCAGGGGTGGGAGCTGGCCAAAGACCTCCAAGAAGATGCTAGAGAAGCTCAGACAAGAGAGAGAAGCCCTCTCTTCCCCTAGAGCTTGCACTCGGAAATCACACCTACAGCCTTCTCAGCTGTGAGAAAATAAACGTATGCTCATGAAAGCCCCCCCACGGTGGAATTTCTGTCATAGCAGTCCTCAGGAGAGAAGGCAGGGACCTAACCCCAAGAGCAACATCATCTTTCTTTCCTCATCCTCTGCACACACACATGCCCCACGGAGACTAAAGGCCACTCACCATCCAAAAGGTCACGGATTTTGTCCAGGTAAATCTCAAAGTAAGAAACCTAGAACAGGAGAAAGAGAGGGTGAAGCGAAGACTGCCTATCTCAACTCTGCCCCGGGGAGCCCCAGCTGAAGCCACGAGCAGTGGGGTGGAGAGAAGGGTGGAGGAGGGCGGCACAGGGCAGGGAGCCAGAGCCCAGGCGAGGTGGAGGTGCCTAGGCTCTGCAGCGATTCCCCCTACACCAGTGCCTCCCTCTCAGCGCTCAGCGGAGAGGCCCCTCACCTTGATGTGGAACTCCAGGTTCTCGTCCATGGAGTAGATGTGGTTGAAGATGTCGCGGGCAATCCGAGGGATGATTCCCATCAGCTGGGGGTCGTGCAGCTTCCCCTGGAGGTGAACACAAAGAGAAGACCCCGTCCGAGTTAGGAGAAGTCCTCCAGACTTTTGTTGCTGCTGCTCTTCCACAGCGCAGGAAGAAAACGGGAACCGCAGGGTAAACTGTGGAAGGCCGGAGGGGTCCCATTCAACTCCCAGTATCATCTCACCCCTCCGTCCATCCTGCGGGCCCACCCGCCTCAGTCCTGGCCAGCCTGCATCTTTCCTTACAGAGCTTCCTCGGCCATCCACTTAGACTCCTCCCCGACTACCGAAGTCCAGAGTCCTCACCTCCATGGTATGGGTTTTCCCTGAGGAAGTCTGTCCATAAGCGAAAATGGTGCCATTGTAGCCAGCAAGAACATCTGGAAAAGAGGGGGGAAAAAGAACACTCGTGGAGAGAAGTGGGGTGGGAAACAAGGAGCCCGACAGAGTCCACTGCAATAACCCACCTAGTAGTCACACCGCCTTGTGAATATACGAAAGGCTATGTTTACAGGGAACGGTGGAGGAGCGGAGCGGCTCGAGGGGAAAAGGAAGGGAGTACAAGAGGGACCGACGTCTAGTCCCCAGCGGTTCATCGGCACCCACTGTAGAGGACGGCCATCAACCAGGCCTGCTTTAGCCAAGAAGCAGAAGATGAAACCAAGCAGGACGTTGCACCTTGTGGTGGGTTCCTCTGTGCTCACACTTTGGGCCTGTGTCTACGATACAGATCATCGTAGATGACGTATCGGTGGAACATATGTATTGAGTCCTTTGGTGAGTGGAGGAGGAAAAAATAGAGCCCAGAGGGTAACCAAAATAACTGAAAAGAAAGGAAACACTCCTCTAGCTTAGAAATCACTAGAGGCAGTTTTCTTTCCTTTGGTATATTTCCCATTTCTTTCCTTTGGTATATTTCCCATTTTCTTTCCTTTGGTATATATACCCATTGATTTTGGGTATATTTCCCAAAATCGTTGTTGATTTTCCCAGCAACCGTATAAGAGAGTAATTCAGTAAAGATATGGCACGTTAAAATAATAATAAAGGGAATGGTATGCTTCACAATGGTTAATTAACTTTGTATGAATTTCACCTCAGTGCATTCTTGTTTTTTAAAGAAAAGCAAGGAAGGAGAGAACACATCCATTACCTTTGACAATCTGCATGGCACACGCGTGGTACACCTGCTCCTGAGTTGTGTTTGGGGGAAATACACGGTCAAACACATAAGGCTTCCCCTGGAGGGAAAGGAAAGGTGGCAGACATTAGCAGGCCGGGGGAGGGAGAAGACATACTGTAGCCCCCTTCCATAACCCTAAGGCAGACACCCCATTCTTCAACTCTGGGTACGCCCAGACACGTCTGGAGATGAAGGAAACGAGAGAGATGCACAGCTTTGTTGTGGCCCCGAGAGTTGTGCCCGTGCGGTAGAGTGCCACCGAAGAGTGCCACACAGGTGAGGCAAATGCCATCTTGACATGATGATTTAGCACTCACCCCACCCCCCCAGCCCCCCCAACCCCCTGTCCCTGTCCTGGGGACCCACACAGGAAAAGACAGCAGGGCCACAGGCTATGGAGAGTGAGGAGAGCAATTCCCTAACACTACAAATCTACCTGCAAGGGCAAATGCTGTAGGAACCCACTTCTCTGAAATAAGTGAGTAGACTAAAGAAGCCAAAGATGGATACCGGGAGTGCTTCTAAAGGGGAAAAGGAGAATTTCTGCTTAGGAAACCCTGAGTGGACGTTAATGGTGGTGGAATAATTTGGGCAAAGAGTAAAAAAGGATTACACCACACAGAAAATGCAATCCAAGTCACTGAGTGTACATGTGGAAACTGTTGAATTGGGAAATGTTCTCTTGTATATATTTTCACCATGATTAAAAAAAAAAAATTACCGCAAGGTAAAAAATGTCTTCCTCAACAGATCCATATATCCTGATATGGAAAGATCTTCGAGAAACATTAAGTGAAAGATGCAAACTTGGAGACATATGTATAGTATTTCCCAATTATAGAAATGAAATATACATTACCCTGAGCTATGTGGAAATATCCACATCAACTCTTGGTGGAAGAAATATATAAAATCGCAAGTGTGGGTCTCCCTTAAGTAGGGAAACAATGTTAATTAAAGTGAAACCGCAAAGCCAATAACGCGGATCCACAAGCATAGTTGTTTAATTCAGGTAACATGTTAGTCCTTTGGCTGATATGAGTGCTAACGATACAAGATATTCACAATGCAGAGAGCTAAGCCAAGAATATATTTGGTACCTAAAACAATCGTGTTGGAGAGATGACCTCAGGGAAAGTTAAATGAGACTACATGTGCTCTTTCCTATCATGCGTGACAAATTTCTCAGCTGTGTTTTCCCTCCGGTACAGAGACTGGGACTCGGTCGTCAAATTGTTTCACTGTGGAGCCCATCTTTATCCAATTGAAATCAGGCTCTGGGCGGCATTTTGTTAGCTAATTACGGAGAGTCGCAAACGTGGACCTCTGGCTACTCGTGTAGCCGTCTATGGCGGTGGGTGTGAGAGAGCTGCAGGCTTGCTCTCCAGGGGGATAGATGCGAGTGTGAACAGTCGTCTCTCTGCGGAGGGAAACTGGTGGAGAACCGCTTTCGCTCATTTTGTAGCCTGCCTTATTTACATCGATCAAAACACACACACGATTATTGTCTAAGAATGTCAAAAAGGTGAGGCAACAGTGCATCCTTTTGTTTTCCTCCTTAGATTTCTTCATGTAAGGGAAAACGAATCAGTATTATTTTTCATATTACAAATTTTAAAAATCTGGCTTCTAGGGGAAAAAATATCTACCTGAAATATGTACCCGGTCTCTCTGTTGCAAAAGCCTTTGAAGCCCACAAGAACGGAATCCACAAGGAGAAGGGGTTGTAAAAGTAGTCGATGCTGTAAACCGCTGGGAAAGAATTCTATTCAATAGTTAGATGTTCATACGGGTCACGGGTCACACTGTCCCAGCAATTCTGGTGCTCCGAAGTTAGCTTACCAAAGATGTGCTGCACCATTCGAAGATGGATATAAAAGGACGGTCACACAGAAGTGGCTTTATAAAAGGAAAATCAAAACACCTCAACATCTACCAAGTGGAGGTTGGCTGAAACCTCCATATGCTACCACCATGGAAATGAGTGAAGTTGGTGTGTGTGTGTGTGTGTGTGTGTGTGTGTGTGTATTTATACACCTGCACACACAGACAGATTGCTATGGGAAAACAATATGGTGGGAGGGGTAAGTTATCACTGAGACAGTTCCAGCCCAGGGCAGCCCCATGAGTACAGAGTAGGACTGTTTCAGAGAGGTTTCAAGCCTGTCAGGACAGCCAGGCCTGGCCTCTGGGTTGGTTAGAACTGCCAACCTTTGGCAAGCAGTTGAACATTTAATCCCTTTGTGTAATTAAAACTACATAGATAAAATAACAAAAACCCCACCACACTCACTGCCATCAAATCGATGCTGACTGGCAGTGACCCTATAGGACAGGGCAGAACTGCCCCCGTGAGTTTCTGAGACTGTAAAGCCTCATCTTTCTCCCAAGGAGCAGTTGGTGGTTTCGAAGTGGTGACCCTGTGGTTAGCAGCCCACTCATAACCACTAAACCACCAAGACCGTAAGAAGGAAAAACAGATCATAGAAGTCTATATGCAAAGTAGCTGTTGGTGGTTATCACTGGTGAGCAGAATGGCCGGAACTTCTGTCAACATCTGATCTGTGATATTGTTTTACAATGACAACATATTGCTTTTACATTTTAAAATATTGTAAGAGATGTTATAGAAAAAAATGTAACAGTATGACAAGATGTGCACAAAATACTGTCAAGCAAAAAAAGGAGGTTAAAATAGTGTGTAAAGGATGATACAATTTCTGTAAACAAAATGCATATATGTATACATACACACAAACACAAAATATATAAATAGACATAAGTATAAGAGAAAAATGTTCATAGTGTTTACCTTTGGAATTTAGGGGATTTTGTTCTATTTTCATTTAGATTTAAAACTTTTCTAAAATAAAAATATATAATTTTTAAATAAGTTAAAAATTAATATATAGTTTTTGAGACTAATATTCTTACAACCTACAGAACTCTCAAATTAGTAACAAAAAAGGCATAATAAACTAAACAGAAAAGTCGGCAAGAGCTCAGCGCTAACAATAGAAGAATATAAACATTCAATAAACAAGGACATTCAACATTTTCAAAGAAAAGGAAGCCAAGGGTGGTAACATCATTTGCCACATTTCCAATTAAAAACAAAGATATCATGTGAATGCCTAGTGTAGATGAGCACCTTCATTCACTTCTGGCAGGAGATTAAACCCATTCAACTTTCATGGAGGCCGTTCAGAAATGTATGATTCAAAGACTCACACTGTACATGTCCTTCTACTTCCAAGAACTTATACTATGGAGGTCACGACACAGGCAAAAATCTGACTACAAGGATGCTTATGATCGTACTGCTTATAATAATGAGAAATCAAAACATATTGCCTGTGCACTTATTTTACTCTTTGCTGCTATTTAAAACGACATCATAAGCTAAAAATGAGTGTAAGAAAGAAGAAAATGTTCTAAAATTGATTGTGGTGATGAATGTACAACTCTTCTTAATATGACTGAATTATTAAGTTATAGGATATGTGGGTTATATGCCAATAAAGCTTTTATAAATACATAAGAGATCATAAAATATAATAAAAATAAAATGACATCAGAATAGGACAAGAATAAATCACAAAAACATGCTGAACTACTGAATTATATGATATGAGGATTATGTGAAAATAAAACTGTTTATTAATCCTTTTTTACAAAGAAAGAAACCCCCCCAAAGGAGAAAAAAAACCACTGAGTGAGAACAATTAGATATAAGAGAACACATACCATATTATTAGCTTTATATGATGCTAAGAATGGACACACTGTATCTGTGGTGAAAGGAGTCCACATCATGGTTTACCTGGGTGACACTGGCTGGACAGCGACACGAGAGACTCTCAAGGGTGACAGAGTTGCTTTAGACATCCACATGGGCAACAGTGGGTTGGGTGTCCGCATAGGAGGGCTTCAAAAGTTTGTGACAGAATTCCATTCTCTTTTACTTCCATTCCACAAAGTTTCGACATCCCCATATGTAAAATTCATCAAACTGCTTGCTTAAGATATTGTGCACTGTATGTAAATTATACCTCAATAATATCTGCTATCAAAATATATAACATCATTAGAATGCTGTTATGATGGTTCGCAAACATATGAATTGATGTACAGCCTCATTTCATAAAATAAACGCACATTAAAACTATGAATTGACACTTTTACCTATCAAAGTGGTCAAATAAAATAGCTGGTTTTAAAACAATTTTACTGGCATATAATCCACATATCATACAATTCAACAGTTCAATCATATCTAGAACTGTACAATCATTAATATAATCAAGTTTAGAACATTTTCTTCTTTCTTGTCCTCCTTGTTATTAGCTCTTCATTTTCCCTAACCTCGTCAATCATACCCCAAGAAACCATTAATCCAGTTACTGTCTCTATAGATTTACCTTCCTGGGTTTCATATGCAGAAAGACATACAAGAACTAAAAACAACAACAAAATAACAAAGTAAAACAGAAAATTCTCAATCGAAAAGAAAGCAAAAACTACTAAAAACTAGAACAAATTTTAAATGGGTCAAAAGGAAGATCAGATGGTAAGGTGTTAAATTGTAACCTGACTATATCTGGAATAATAACTCTAGTGCTGTCTGTGTAAGAGCAAGACTATTCACGTCCCTAGTCTGGAGTTCAAGGGCATTCACTGGACGCTTAATTCATGTGTATTTCCCTTTACTTTTTCTCCTCCCACTGAAACAACTTAAAAATGGGTCAAAAGGGAGATCAAATTAGAAGATAGTGTGTTTTAACCTACCTGCATCTGTCTTAACTTTATGATGTTCTCTGCCTGATAACAAGGTTATTCACATCCATCTGACTATGATCAGAGGCTTAATCTATGTGAGGATTCTGCAAA